GGGTGGGGGGTGGGCATGACTGTTGAGTTTGAAGCGTACAACCGAGATTCTGTGGGTGGGGGGGTCATCGGGCGATTAATCCGCTCTCAGCTAGATGTTCGATAGTAATCTCGTGCAACTCGGAGTTGTCAGTCGCTCATTGTGACATGGCTAGCAAGTCGGGGTTCGTTAGGAAGGAGTTAATTCCCTGTATCCCAGAGTCCGGTATCCGCAACTCTGACCATGTCTAGCCTCTGGCACAGATTTCCCGTGTCCACGAGAGTTCTGAAGTTCCAGGTAACATGAAGAGATTCGGTGGTATTAAGTTGAACAAATTGCCTCTTAAACAAACCAGTCACGGGAAGCAGAATTGGGTGTATCGCTACCTGGAGACGCTTTAGCACGTATGCAAATCAATGTGGTGTCAGAGTTCAAAAACTGCCTTGGGAATGTGGTACGATACGATGTTNCCTGCATCGTTCGTCTTTAGATCGAGAGTAAACCCTCTAGTTCTGGCACACACGTGCAAATTGCTACACAGGAGGATCTTATGGTGGAGCACTGGTGGTTCACCTAGGGGAGTTGGCCAAAAACCCTGATTCCAAATCAATCCAGAGGAGGCGTACGAACCACACACACACACACACACACACACCTTTCCGATTGTGGCAATGGTCACCGGCTCAACTGGGCATCGAGGTATATTGGGAAACGTTTAACCCCGTCCGAAAGGCATACGATCCGATGAACTGGACACCGGCTCCAAATGCATCGCGGTTTTCACACCGCCCCGCTGCCCTGCAGGTCAGGCTTTGGTTAGCCGGTTGTGGATTCCCCAAGAAAATTCACCTGCCTTGGCCTGGGCAACCTGGCAGTATTCGGCCCACTAGCAAATCGTGGAGCGTTTTTCTTTTTATGAAGATTATTGTAGCACGATTAGTTTGGCACAGTTTGAACTCAGACCTGTGATATATATATATATATATATATATGTATATATAGCATGGTTGTTGAAATCCAGTGTCCACATATATGAATTCCCACGTCTTTCGTGTTGATTAGTGACCCAAGACATTCGATTGGAAAGACCGATAGCCGTCGCTCGGTTTATACGCTCCTCTCAATACTTTAATATGCTGCGCTTTTCACGAACCACTGGCTCGATAAAGACGGACGTTTGGCACTTAATAAAACCAACAGAGCGAAAACCGGTAGGCTATACTTAACTGACGACATCAGAAGTTCTTCTAGTTGGGTTACAATTTATTATTATTATTATTAAGTAAACCTGCTGTATGAGCTTCAGCAACTGGCATTTAATTGGAGACACCATCGTGATTTACTTAATGCACAGTAAAAACAGACTGCAGAAATGAACGACCCAAATCTGGAGGGTCGTGGATTAGATCATCTGATAACTGTGCAAAATATATCTATTGAAACTGAAACTCCAGTGAAGTTTACTGTTATTTTTACAAGCGATATCACAACCAACAGAAACCAAAAGCAATCGTGTTCATTTAGTGAATCCCTAGGATAGAAAAATGAAACTAGCAGATCCCGACTTACCTCCGCGAAAATGTGCGGCCGCTTTCGGGAAAAACTCGCTCTGGATCCGAATAAAATGAGCGACTAAGTTGGGACACTGAATCACATGAGCGATTAGCGGATGTGATGCAGACTGGCAGAGAGAAGGAGAGGCCCCGGTTGGACCGATTGTTAACCAGCTCACATTACCCTGTTGGGACTCGTAATGCAGCAGAGGCCATAGACGAGAAAACACATAGGCATCAATGGCAGTCGGTCTGAGTGCAAAACAAAGATGGGCAAGCAGAAGAAAAATAGCATGAACACAATATGATTCCGAAACTATTTCTTCAAGACAAAAATGCGTGAAAGTTGGTAGCGTACAGTTATTCATTCATATTTCAATGTTATTATTTCCTGTCACATTATGTGGTGGCGGGGGTGAAATTTGAACCTATGTGCCTAAGAACCAACGCACCACGTCAATATACGATCAAATGACTCTACCACCTAACACCAAATGCAATCTGCACGAAAGCGTGAAGATGGGATCAGAAGCGAATTCATTTAGCTCTTTGTGGCATCAGTACCATTCAATTGAATTTTCGAGGATAATTCAGTCGTGTATAATCACGGCTAAACCTTAAACTAAGCATTTTTAGGATTTCCAGTAATGAGAACAGAAGTGCAGCTGCGGGAATCCCACACGATCACTTTGGCAATCCTCACAAAAATAAACTATTTCCTGTCTATATTTCTACCTTAGCTAGTACACGATCAAATGCGACAGAATTTCTCGTCACCGAAAATACCAACCCATCGCTTTGGTTAATTCAACAGTGGAACGAGGCCAGTTTAGTGGATATCTCAGCTGTTCCGGAGGATTACAAGTGCCGAAAAGTTTTGTTTATTGAGGGATATTAGTCTAAGAATACGCATTATCAAATGGCAGTTAAGTCAATAAAATAATTCTCAATGAGGTAAACTACAAATCCGTACGATTTGGCTGTTGAACTAAAGGGTATGCTACCCGGCCCATTCGCGATTCGACTTCGGGACCCATTGCAAGGACGTGTGTTACCAGCTCACATCGAACACGGTCAGATATACCGATTCAAGTTTGTTCCGATGAGGTCTCCAATGAAACGCATGAAATTTTTAGCCTAAAAGCGCCAAGTGGACACCCAAGTAGTCATCCATTGAGACTAATCGAAAACAACCCACTAAATGAGGCTTTCCTCGCATATATTTGGGTAGAAGTTAATCGGATGTGTAAATTTAACTTCAAACCCTAAACAGGCAACGTAGTAATTCCGTACAAAATGGAAATTCGATGTTTATATCAAATCGGTTTACATTTCTACGACAACAATACAAAGTGCATAACAAAACCTCGTTCTTTTCTAATTTGATGGTTTTGTGCCATGAGGAGGGTCAACGTTTCCGAATACTCCTCCCGTGAAAAGCGGGGTTCTGTTCTACCACAAACCAGTTCAGTCGTATTTGTTCAGCGGCGAACCGAAGCCAGGTTATAATTTGAGCAGTACAAAACCCGGGAATTAAAAGCTCTTTATCATTCCAGGTGGTTTTTTTATATTCAACTAACGCTACCAGGAGCCGTTTTAATCCGGGAACCAGGCAAACACTAATTCGCTGCTCTTACCGAATTTTTAAATCCACGGTTATACTTTGAAGGACCGAATTAGCCCCGCTAATTTTCAATCATCACAATTAACCAATTAATTTGTGCTTAGGTGTCACCAGAGGATTGAGCTGTTGGAACAAAATTGAGGAAAAACGACACGAACGCGTCGGAACTGGTGAACTCACCTATCACCAACAAAGTAGGTTTTCTTGCCCAAAATGTAAGACAGCGCCGTCAGACATCGTTTAGCCAATCCGTAAAGCTGAAAGAATACAGAACATTGAGTATAAATAACTGTGACAACATCAAACAATCACAGAATGCAGAAGCTCAATTTGCTATAAACATTATCCGATTACTGTACACTATAGGCTGCTCCAACTGTTGACTGGCACAAAAAAAACGAGCAGATTCATTTGCGACCATTCCCCAGAATAGTTTTGTTACTTCACAAGTGATTTCACCTTGTTTTAGAGGCTCAAAAAGGTTTCAGCATTGTCCCGGGGTGGATGTTTTCGGTTGAGGGATTACCTTTCCGGACATCTCAGCAAATGCTTTTATATGACCAAATGTCTAACATGCTCACTGCCTTCAAGTGGGGGAGTGTTTTCCCACCAGTGCGAGGGGACGAGAGGCCAACGTCTGCGGATCGTAACCAGGTTGGTGAGCTACCGGTAGTTCACTCGGGGAGTTCGATAAAAAGACCCAGATTCCGAACCAACCAAGAGACGTAAAAACCATACGCGCACACAGCTTCCCGATCCCAGCACTGGTTGCCAGGTTGAATGAGCACCCGAACTAAGGGGTGTATAGTCCGAGGAACTGGGGGCACTGGTCCCCAATAGACTGTCGGCTTTGGTCGAAATTACTATCAGAGTTCCTCCACCATCATACAGCTCGTCGTCCTCAGTCGAATTCAAATCTTCGCAAAACATATCGAACGAAAAATACAAAAGGCAAAGGATGTTTTTTCTATTCGATTTCCAAGTTTCCAAACATTCACAACTTCAAATTCACCTTTGCTGCATTATCTAATAGCACATGTAGTGTGCTTTACAACTGATGATCGGAATCAATTAATCAACTTTCGAAAGAATCTGTCTACGCTGTTCGTTCGGTTATTCTACATTAGACAAAAAAGAACAAGATGTTTCAAAAAATGTGAAGATATTTCCCTAGACTCAAGGCACCATACGATGGCGGAAATGGGCAGCCACTGTAAGTGAAATATTTCCGTGGTAAACCCAGGCAGCGAATATGCCAAATTCATACCCCTGCTCATGCTAAAGCCGCAAGATTAAGTGTCTGATTTGACAGTTACACTTAACGAATGCTCACCTTCTAGCTCGTGAGATCCTACTCGCATCTATCGAATGAGCAGATGATTATCGGAATGAAGTTGTGAATACCTGTCTATTCAGTTAAACAGTGACATGCAATAGTTTGATTGTTCCAAACATGTTTTAGGTGAACCAATCTGTGATTGAGAGCTTGGGGTTCACCAAAAAATGTTCAGATCCCCGTGATTATCACATCAACACTGTGATTCTCTCGTCAATTTTCATGTCACTCCAGTCATTTTGTGACAAATTTTAATACGATCCGATAAAGAAACTAAAATATTTATATTTTATATATATTACTTATATTTTACATATATGACTTATATTTTATATTTTTTTTATATTTTAGCCACTCCGTAAAAAGTATTGCGGTAAATACATCAGTTGATCAACGATCAGAAAAGAACCTTTTCGTAATTCTCAGCTTTCTCTTATAAACATTAAAACCAGTTATGGATAATGACTTGTTTTGAAAAATCGTCTCTTCCCCGACCCCGTGGATATGTAAGCTAAATAGATCAAACTGAAGTTGTGCATCTTGGCGCTTATAGCATCGGGTGGATCCATAGACATACAAAGACATCAAGAGAAGATCATGAAGGAGAAAGTATGCAACGATTTAGTTACCTCACATCCTATTTCATTATCGGTCAGCTGCCGAAGACAATGGACCAGTTGACTATGTGTAGCTAAATGAATTTTTCTTTGGCGCCACTTGTTCGGCAGGTACATGGATGCGAGGCGAGATAGATGGGCGGAACACCATTTGCGTGTGTAGCCCACAAATACATCGTCCTCCCCCCAAAGAAACCAATCGACTGCTGGACTGAGCTGACGATCCACGACGGATACCAAAGCGGCCAGTTCCACAACATCTGCATCGTTGAGCCCGTATTCCAATCCGTAATTCTGTTAGAATACATGTTGGAAAAGATGTTTATGTGGAGAGAGAGACAACGTTTTTCCATAAGTCATTTTGGTCCCAATATAGCGCAGTTGGAATCAGTATATCAATGTGCACACGATCCTCGGTGATCAAACAGGGTTATTTGAGATGAACTAATAACTTCGTTCATTTTTATTCGGATACACGTGGTACGGATAACATACAGATAAGAGTCAATCGGTGTTAACAATAGTTGTACGTCCCAAAATACCGAGTACATAGTTTCGGTCTACGTGCTACATGTTTAAAAAACAGAGACAACGCGTAATTCAATAGTAGTTGACGCATTTATTAAAAACTTCACCAATATTGGGGTTTCGAAGCCTATTATTGTTATTTTTTCTCACAGCCTCGACCGGGAGAAGTGTGCTGTAACGTAAAGTAGTAACCAGTAGTAGACCCCTTGAGTGGTGGTGGTGATAGCGTAGTGGTTTAGTTGCTGTCATCGGCGTGCTTTGGACGTGGTGCGAAGTTCAAACCCTGCCACCGTCTACGTGACGTGGTTCAGCCTGACAGCTGCTCATTACACAAAAAGGCGTGCACTAAGAAGCTTCAGGTCAGGGTTCACACTGTCTTCTAGCATTATGGGCTACCGTGAAGCATATCATGTTCTAAAATCCCGCTTGTTCGATCAGAAAAAACTGTTATCTGCCTGGCATCTCATTTACTACAGAGCCCCATGGGGTGTCTTGCTACTACCACTGAGAACATATCAACAAGGATATCAGAAACCAGGGAGCCGGCAACACCGAGGGTCCAATTCACCCAATCACATCGGATGTCAGAACACTCCAGCAAATCGATCAACAAATTTTCTTTCAAAACATCGTTATGCAGCTGTCTGAAACAGGTATAACCAAAATCCCACATCGAATATCCCACTGTATTCTTCGGATCAGACCTCGCTATCACAATCCATGCAATGCATCGAGTAAGTTGGGGACTACGCTCGCGATGTTACTGATGCCAAACGTTGCGACAAGGGGCTCTGTGAGTTAGTTGACATGCTTTCAGACGGTGAGCTATTCGATTTAAATTATGCGGAAGACACTGCACAAATGAGAGGAATTCGGTTACAAGCTCTTTTTGAATGGTTTGAGTGTTCGTGTAGCTGTGGTACAGCATTTGCCTCTCCAAGTTGACTTTCAGTGAAGGACACGTTTTGGCGCGAATATGTACGATATTTATCAACTTTGTCAACATTTAGCCAGACGGTTGTGTGCTACAAATATAACTAATATGTACAGAAGATAAACGAAGATTATGCACGCCCACTAATTGATGTCTACGAAGCATTGCAAATGTTTGATGGAACCACTGGAGCCGGGTTTGTGCACTTGCTCCAGTGTTTGATCTCCATGAACCGCGGCTCGGCTCTGCTGTCACCTGACTCACTAACAAGCTTGATATACTGAGAGCTTATACAGTTCGCTGCTACAATTTTTAGGATTGTGGGTCTCAGTTTTCTCTTCGCATTGTGGTACGACAATACAAAATCACGCACACTCACTCACCCATAAAACAAATACGAACTCATTACCCGCACCAAAATCCGTGGACAAAAACGGCATTTATTTTGTACACCAATTTCTCCATCCTTCTTTCTGCCCGTAGTTCCATTTCCCAAATATTACCCTTAGCGGACACCGCCCATGTTAGATCTGCTACTCTTCTTTTTCACCCAAATATGGAAGCTGCGTCTTTATGAACTAATCATTCACCACCTCCAGAATAAAAATAATCTTGAGTTTTTGAAACCAGAATTTTTAACGATGCGGCTGAAATTATGATTTTCTTCTTTTAATCATTAATTGCGTGTTGTTTATTGTTTCGCTAACAGTAGCAACTCCTCCATTTCTGTTTTTCATCTTCTTACGTTGAGGACGTGTTTCTTACCGACCACAACTGCCGTTTCCCGATCTCGGGAGATTCCAAAGTTTATAGTCAGGAACGGTTAATATATTCTTCTGAGACTACCTTTGGGGCGCAAAAAAGGTTGGATGTGGAGCCAAACAGCGCTATCGGTAGAAACAAAGACAATATGCAGTTATTGTATGGATATCGAGCAACCAGAAGCTGTATTCCTTCATCTTTCGTCTGACTCGCGACACCGCATTCTCTCGACATCTCCTTGTCGTTTGAACCGATGATCCCCGACGAAATGTGCAGACACTTGCGTTCTCTTTAAGCATTATCTGCGACCGGTTTACATAACCTGAACTCCACACCTTTGGGACCTTGGCACTACAATTCAGGCAACTGGGACGGTTTTTGCGAATTCTTATGTTCAATACTATCCACAGTTACTTGTAAGTAGTGGTGTGGGGAACAAAAAAGATTGATTTAAAATGACTATACTTCACGTGATGAAGGTGTTTTCCCACCAAGTTGAGAGGACGAAAAGCCGACATCCGGGGCTATAACCGGGTTGGCGGACCACTGGTAGTTCACCTAGGGGAGTTGGCCAAAAACCCTGATTCCAAACCAACCAAGAGGAGGCGTATCAACCACACTCACCCAGATCTTTCTGGTTGTGGTAGTGGTCACCGGTTGGACTGGGCATCGAGGTGTATTAAGCGCCTTGGGCGTTTGACCCCCTCCAAAACGCGTATGATCCGATGAACTGGATACCGGCCCCCAAATGGATTGCGATTTTCCCACACCACCCCGCTGCCCTTCGGGCCAGGCGAAGGCTGCGCTTGTAAATTCCTCGAGAAGATTCATTTTGACCTGAGAAACCTGGTAGTATTCCGTCCAAAAACAAATCATAAAACGTTTTTCTTTTTATAAAGATTATTCATTTGTTTGGCACAGTCTGGATTCAGACGGACAACACACCAACTGGCGTCCTCTAAATGTGCTCGCGAAGTAGCTCGTTTTAATGCTTTCCCTCCGACTGTTTACGTCTTTGACATTTTGGAAACACTCCGCAATTCTTTCTATTCCCAAACGGAGTGGTCTCTCTGATCCCAATAATAGCCATCATCCCCGATCTATTGTGAGCGTTCGGCGAATGTGAAGGATCATTGAGCGACCGATAACTTGCTGCTTTTTGTCTCAACCCTGATCGTCTGCAGTCGATAAACGCAGGAAAACACACTTTGTCTAGCTTGTCATTCCAAAACTAATCGGCCGGGGTTTGGCACGATCTACCGGTGAAAATGCCCGAAACAAATTTCCTCAGGTGAACCATCGTTGTCTCAGTTGACGAGATTCTACCATAGCTCTTCCCTGCAAGTACTAATTTCCCCAGAAGTACCTATGTCCATCCTTTTTCTTTGATTTATCTATTTATGCAAGACTATTAACCTAAAATTTTCCTTTGCAGATGATGTCAATCACCTCCATTTTACCGTACTTCTCGCCGTGTTGGCGCACAAATTGATTGAGATTGTAGTGCAGTTAATTCGCCACTGGACTCCGATCTCGAAAATACCTCCTCCTGGGACCACAGCAATCACGCTTATAGAACCTCTCTCGATTCAGTTTCTCTCAAACACAATTTATTCTCGATACACTTAAAATTTGATCCCAGTTAGCTGCATCTTTGAACTGCCGACAACTTCTTCACTAGACTGGTACCCTTGTATACCTCAGGTTACTTCTCGGGCTGCGCGCAAGATTATTTTTTAATTCTGCGACCGATACCTCACCCCTACTCATATTCTACGGTTTAAAACTCGAATTCGCCCCCATTTGAACACTGCAGTCGCGTGTGGGTTAGGGCTTTGTTTGCTGCTCTCGCCCATTATAGCTCGTGTTCAAACGAAGGTCATCCGTCCGATCGATGTGACGCAGTGGTTTAGACACTGTCATCAGCGTGCTTTGGACCCTTATGGTCCGACGTTCGAGCCCAGCCACCGCCACCCAACTTTGGTGGTAGGCAGCTCTGCTGTCGTCCGGTTCAACACCACGCTTAACCAA